ACCTTGGGCCCTCCTAAAACCTATCCTCTGGAAAGACATCCAGTCTTCTCAAGGCTCAAAGGAATGGAACAGGGACAATTTTTTCTGCTAGTTGCTGCCAAAGCTCAATCGACCTCATATTTAAGTGTTTGCACCTTGTTTCTCATTTCAATTTGTCTGACTATGCTTTCAGTAACTGATTTTTCTTAGGCTTTTCTCAGCTAGATTAAGAGTAGCTCATGTCTGATATTTTCTCCCTGTGAAGCAACTCATACACTATAATCAAGTACCTATCTATCATTTTGGTCATGAATTATGTAACTCTTCATGAGCACTAAGCGTTCAATCACCACGTAGGCAGCCAACTGCCAAAACACGATCGTCACAATCTTTGTTCTTTGGATGCCCAACCCCAGAGGCACCTATAATTTTCACAGAGGCACAGGCATACAAAGCTGTACTTCCAAGCATTCCCCAAAACACGTCTGTGCAGCGAGAGGAAGCGGCTCACGCTTTTAGTTCTGTCAGGATCCACGAGAGTAAGTGATCCTCCACTCCTACTCACAGGGCCCAGGGTGGCAGACTCTCTCAGAGCACGCTGGATAACTTGAGTGCTTCACTTTCAAAGAAAAAATGGACTTACCAAAGAGTATGATGAATTGATCTGCCTTCCCTGATTTTTTTTTTAAAAGAAAAGACTTCCAAGAAAGATTTTGTATGACTGCTAATTCTAAATTAAGTAAAACTTCCAAATTTTCTGTTCAATGTCTTAGTTCCCTAATCACGTAGTTGACTGTTGTGAAGCCATTTTCAAGCAAAAGCTTTGTGCTTCGAACTTTGTAGGCATTGCACCTATTTTGCACATGGGGAAACTCAGACAGAGAGCAAGCCCACTATATCAGTAGCTCAGTGAAAAACTGAGTTATTCTGATTTCCTAGAGTAGCACTCATTCTTGGAGATCATGTTCACTTATAACAGTGCAGCACAGAAATGATACAGAAAAAAACAGGATCATCACATAACTTTCAATATGATCATGAAAACAATAATGAGCAAACTGCTTCTCTTCTCTCTGAAGAGCTTTTTGCCTTACGGCCAGTTTAGTATCCGCACCAGACTACTATGCACACAATGAGATGCCATGGTCTCTGCAGCTATTGGAATAATGGACATGTCAAGCCACAGATATTACGCTCTTTGGATATAAATAACGCATCATAATAGTATCATAATGTTTATAAGACAAAAAGCTCCTAAATGATGAACATTTATTTCAAACTGAAATTATCCCTACCAAGTGATGCTGCTCCAAAGCAGGCAAAGCACTGAGAAAGACGGCTGGACTGCTGATCCCTTTCAAATTCTACCACAGGTATGGGCCCTTCCTCTCTCCCATTTGTCAAAGTTTTCAGGCTCAGTTCAACTCAGTATTGAGATGTAGCATCAGTTGGAAGAAAAAACATATCCAAGAAACTTGGAAATGTAATGCACACAAGAATCAATCCAAGGACTTCTTCAGTTTACTCTGAGACTCACCATATAGACAAGTCCACAGTGAGCAACTCAGAAAAAAATTCTCATAAAAAAAAAAAATCATCAAAATGATAGTCATCACCATGATATGACAATTCACTCACTTTGGGTATTAACTTTCCATTTGTAATGACCAATTTTCAGATTTGCGCATTGATAAAACAAGAATAATATTAATAGCTTCCATTAGAATCAAATTTCCATGACTAAAACATTAACTGTAGGATTCCTGAGCTTGCTAGTAAGCCCACTTCTGTTCTACAGCAGGTATAAAATCTATCGGTGTCTTAAATGTGATTTTTAAAAAGAAAAGAAATTAATATTGTGGATACTCAGCAATCATGGGATTTCTGGATTTGTTTTTAAACAAAATTTCAATTTCAAAACAGATCTTGAGAAAATGGGACAGAGAATATCAAGAAACAGGCATAAAGCTCTTACAGAACAACACAATGACATTTCAAAACAGATTTGATGATTTGTATAAAACTTAGAGGTTAAATGTGTAAATTGGTATTTGATGTGTAATCTAGCAAATTCAAGACGTAATTTTATGTGCAGATGCACACATCTCTGTTGGTTTGTATGCATTAGTCTGCTGTTCAAATGCAGAACAGTTTTTAAATTAAAGACAGAAGTATTCTCTAGATTCTTATTGTTGTAAAACATATAATGGTACTTCATAAGGTTTATAAGGAATATAGTTGTATAGTTAAATATCCCCCTCTATGACAGTCTGCAGCAAAAAGGGAAAAGAAAGTCTGAAGACCTGGCTTTGTGGCATTTCCATGCATCAATTCCTCACATTATACAGGATTTCAAAGAGACAGAATAGAAAGTGCTACCACCTATCAATTACAGTATCGTCCTTACTCGTGTAGAAGCTAACTTGTTCCGCCTTCCACCTTCCACAGCCTCTCCTTTAGAAATGCAGCTTCTTTAAACTCCTTACTGCCAGTGACCCCATAAAGCAGTATATTAGTTGCCAAAGAAAGCTAAACAGAAATTAGTATTAGAACATTCTATAACAAAGAGCATTAACTTTGAATTAGAAATCCAACTAATAATCTTAATTTCACAGCTGAGAAACAGACTTGATTTTTACTCCCAGCCACATCCTAAAGGTACCCCACAGCTCCATTCTTGGTGGTTGTGGTGAAGGAGTTTCTGACTGGTCCTGCAGAGTGGCTGGAGTTGGCGTCTGTCTCTTTGCCAGTGATGAGACTTATTCTATTCCTATTCTGCTCGAAGAAGCAAAGGGGCTGGCTTAACTGTTGCAAAGCAATATTAGAACACAAAAGACAGAAAAATATGTTTAAGTTAAAAAAACCAATCTTGTATGACACTTTCATACTCCTATCATCCTAAAGGGTTCTATGTCATGTTGTGGATTCTCTGTATGTGCAGCCGATGACCAATAAGTAATCAGTAACTGTGAACCAGACACAGAACAAATTTTATTTTGATAAAGGATGTTAGCCAGGGCACGGGAGTTATCCCCTCATTCCTCTAAAAATCTTCTCTAAAATCTTTAACTCAGATGTCCAGCAGTCAGAAATGGATTGAAAAGAAGAAATGAAAACCCCTGAATTTAACTCTGATGTGAATGCACAATTATCACCTAGAACCCACTTTAATAGTGTTTCTTCCTGAAACAAAAATACAGTATCGACCTTATAGCGATGGGATTATGCAAACAATATTTCAACACACTTTTGTTGTATACCAGTTCTAGGCTAGCCTGGCAATAATTAGGTGACAACCAGTTCTTGCCAGTACTAATATATTTGTACAGTACAAACATTGCCTGTTTAGTGCAAGGGGGTTTCTCCAGTATAAGAATGAATGTATAAAAAATAGATATTGTTAGTGTACAACACATTGATGACAGTTTTCCTATGTTGCCAAGACAAGCAAGTTGAGTAGTTTTAACCACAGCATGCTGCAATGAGCAATTCATTTACCTAGATACAGGTCTTGAACAAGTAAAGTGAAAACTTACACAGATTTTGTAATTTTGGAAAAATGTTAGTGATTCTACCAGTGTTACATCTATCTGTGTTACATCTGTATATCTGTCTACTGAAAGCATTTTAATTTTTCATATTAAGTGGGATTATTGTAGTAGAAATCCAACAGTGTCTGGATTTAAGCTCTGAGTTGAATATTCATTCACTTTAGTGAGAACTATGGTGAAATGTGATCAGTTTTCTGACCTATTTTGAAATTGGTATTCCGCCAACTGGCATTTTGTTTGCACATCCAGATATTATCCACCATATGCTGACATGACATGATGATTGGTTCCAAAATGAAGTGGAATACTTGGCAAATAGAAATATATGGTACAAATAATACACCGCCTCTAGTCAGGAAAGCAAGCAGTCATTTTGAGAAGACGGAGAGGTTTTAAAATAACTTGAGGGTACACACTGCACAGAGCTGAATGAAAGCTCTCTAGGTCATGTTTTTTTACAGGTACGAGGGTCTCAAAGAATTATGAGATCAATTCCTTACAGAAGAAGATTCAAATCTGATACAGCAGTACTAATAGTAGTACTTCACTGGAAGATTAATTTGCATCTTAGGGAGAATTTGGCCCACATAGCTTCTTCCTCCTCTGGATTCCCCAACTCTTCCTTCTCGCCATCTGTTCTTTTTTCCCACTGCTCTGACTTGTCTTCCCGCCCAGTGATGTCTAAGTTATCTGCTGCTTCTGAGTTAAGATCATATTTTATTCAAGCTCCAGCCTAATTTTGTATTATTTCTCTTAACCTCTTCCTATCGAACTCTTATTTTTCTCCTAACTTGATGCTCCCATTAAACTTCTGCCTTCTATTCTGAACTGTAGAATCTCAAAAGAAAAAAAAAAAAAATCTTGTTCCTAAATAGGAAACAACCCAACTTTTTTCTTTTAATTCCTGTTTCCAAAGCAATGTTTTTGTTCTGCATTCCTCCAGTGACTTCCATGTGTGTGCTCTAATGTAAAGCCTCAAAACATACATGTAAGTTATTAATTGATCTCTGCTGTTCTATCTTTTAATGTTGAACACTGTCTGCTTTTTTGTAATGAAATCTAAGAATTTTTAAAGCATTACATTAATTTGCCACTGTATTTCCTAAGGAATTTTGTTTTTCTGTTCTTGGGGGAATAGAGTGGGCAGAGAGACTTAATACAAATGTTAAAAAAATACTTCTCTATAAACATTCAACTAGATTTCAAAATGAGGCACCTAAATAGCATGCACTTCTGATGTTTATGTATTGCACTGCAAGCTTTGCTTGTGAAACATGAATGGATTTCAGCGCTTAATGCATAAACTTCACCCCTTGTGAAAACTCGAAGAGGACTAAGCCCATTTTAAAATCATGTTCTTCTTCAGAATAAATGATAACAACATAACAGCTAGCTTTCTTATTGCAATCATTTAAGCATGCTCATATAGAAAGGACAAGAACTTGTAGGCAAAGGGAAGAATGACCTTACCAGCATGCAAGTATGCCAGATCAGGATTTTCAATGTCTGGGTGTAGTTCTTTCAAGTGGTTACGAAACTCCACAGGGATATTGGTTCCATAGTCACATTTAGGACAGTTATACATTTTCACTCCTTCATGCTTTCCTGTATGTAAGATGTGTTTACGGATATTTTCAGCACAGTTAGACCTACAAAGTGATGAAAAAAAGAAATAAGTTATATAGCAATTTATTCCCTACTAGTCATCCAAATAAAACCTAGCGTTATAACAGAAAATGAGTAGTCAGTACTCATTTTTCACTATCTGCCCAATTTCTGTATCCTCTTCAGTTTTGCATAAATGCTGTCCTTTGCATGAAGGCTCCCAAAGCTGTTTCAGGTAAACTGAGCAATACATCTGAACAGAAGCATTTAAAAATGAACAATTTTTTACATTTGCAAAAGAAAATTTTTATTTTTCTTGACGGTAGTCAGTGATGGACAGAAATTAAGCAAAAGTCTTTAACTTAGCAAAACTGAAACACACAGATGCCTACAGCATTCCCAGCGGAGCTCACATGAACCTTTCCTATGCAGTTCCTAGATTCCATAGGAGTTGCTGTGAATGATTTTTGTAAGGATATTCCACCAACTCTCATCTCACCTTATGAACTGTTCCTAGAAAACAGAACTGAATTGTTCAAGTTTATACCTTTTTGAAAATACACACAGATTCTGATTTATACCTTAAACACAGCTTTTGTGGAAGCAGTGGAGTTTTCATGCATAAAAGTCAGAATACATATAGAATTAGTTTTATGCATTTCAAAGAAATGTTTCTAATGACATTTCTGAAAAAAAAGTGAATAGAAAAAGAACTCACATTTCTTTTATCCACAGAGTAATTGATAATTATATATAATTATCAATCCACATAATCCATGATATGACAGTAATTTTTAATTTCCAGCCTTTAAAATTTTGCAGTCTTATTCCAAAATTATTTTGCATTAGAATTTGCTACTTATTCAAAGTCTGTGATGAATCCCATATAAAATATACCGCTTCTTCATTTATTTCAATCAGAAATAACCATTATATTTATTCTTGAATCAAAATAACGGCCTCTGTACAAATTCTTTTAGACTTTTAGTACAGTACACTATTAATATTGTCAAACTAAGAACAGTAATTCAGTTTAACTGAAAAAGGTACAAACACTCAAGTGAACTATATAAATACATAATACTTCACAAATATTCAAATAAGACAACAGTAGTATTTTGAGTGACTGATTGTTTACCTGTCACTGTTAGAAAAACCACAGTAACAGGCACCTAAAAAAGGACCCCCAAAATAAACTGGAAGTAGCAGCTTGAAGTTCTGTTGGAGTGCTTGTCTCTCCCTTGGAGATGGTCATAGTAAAGCTGATATCTGCCTTACGGTGCTGCCAAAGCTCACCCTCTGTCATGTCCATCTGCTATATACCAGTGTAATGATCAGACTCCTGAGAATGTCAAAGATGACACTTATGTTCACTGAAAAATATGGGAAATATTGGTCCTCAGCATCTTTCAGGATTCAGCCCTAAAAAAATCACAATGGTCATAAATGTTGTTAAAATGAAACATGTGTTTTATTTAAAAAAAAAAAAAAAAAAAAAAGGATAGCGTACACTGCAACAAAAGCAGGAGACAATCTGGTAACCTTCTACCATGGGTTGTACTTCAAAGGGCAGTGGATTAAAGCAGAGCATGCAAATCTGAAAGAAAATATCTGTGTCCTTTTAGCTCAGCTCTCATACTATGTTAAGGAAAGATATAAAACTTTATACTTTGAAATATTTCTGTGAAATATATAAAGGATCTGTGGAAACCTATGTAAGAGTTGTGAAGAAAACCCAGCCTGTTCCAGTCATAAAAGGCGAGTTCTACTTCCTTTGATTTGTAAATTTGCTCTAACCACTTTAAATGGAGCAATCCCGATGTCTCATTTATTTAGTCATCAGTAAAAATCTGTCACTAAACATGCCAACATACTGATATATTCATCATGGGAAATAAAAATTTTAAAAAATGTATTTTTCCATGTGACGAGGCCAGAAAGACTTAATCAGAAATGAGGGATATGAGATCACAAGGCATTACAAATGGCCTCTTGAATTAGGTTGCAGTGCAGCAATTGCAATCGTAACGTAAACCATGAAGGTAACAACTGGCAAATCCAAGCACTTTTGATGCCAAGTAATACCTTTAAATATGACATGACAAAAATGTACTGCATATAAAATGCTTTTTTAATTATTCAGTGTGCTTTGACTGTCTATTAGGAGTTCCTCCTGAGTACTGTACAAGTATGTTCTTATATGTCTGACACAGAAAAACCCCTACCAAAACTCTGTGTATGTGTGTACGTACATCACTTTGTCTCATACGACTAAACACAGAGGTCTGTGATTTTAAACAGCACTGTATTTTCATTAAAGCTATGCCACGATAAACATCTAACTAAAATACTATAGTGTTGCAATAGTGATGATAGTTAAGCATTTGACAGACTTTGTATTATAAAATTCATTTCCAGGAGTTTATAAACTTTGAGATAAAGATTCCCTTTGTTCTGAAACTTGGCAACGTAGAACCCAGCCCAAAAGAAATTGTTTGAGTAAAGTCTTTCTGTTTTTTGAGTTCCACTCTGAATTACAGCCACAAACAAATAAATGCAGCTTTTAAGAGGCTAGTCTGTGTTCCAGTAAGGCTAAACCAGAAGTTTCTAAGTTAAATTACTATTCCTTAATGTAAGCCTGCTTTTGTCCTTATGATCCATTTTCCATTTTAAAAATCAAATGTATATATTTCTGGCAATTTTTCCATGCTCTGCAATAACAGGATGGGCACTCATTAGAGAGACTTAATTAGTCTAAAGCTATAGTCTATGGGTTTGTATTCAATGCTGATGCAGAGAAGCACAGCAGAAACTTTGTTTTTATTTCACGTCTTGCAGTGAGTCTTCCTATCAGACATGAAGAAAGGTTTGAGACTCTATGCAAACAACAATTCTATTAAAGGGAAGTGGAAGGCCTGCACAGAGTTTTCAGTGTCCTGTCAGTGCTATACAGTGAAAGAAGAGATGGGACGTGTTCCTAAGGCACGTTGCAGATGAACAGGAAGTGCGAGGAGCTGAAAAGCTCAGCCCATGCTTCCCGTGCAACAAGCCTGTATGACTTCCTCCATCAAAGACTGATATATTGGGAAGGGTGTAAGCCTGCTTTCCACTGCACACGTCCAGGAGACCTCCCACATTTCTGTAAAGGACAATGCTGTGAAGTAAGGGAGATGGATGGCAAGTTTCTCCTGAGAAATGCAGCTGCTGCTTAAGACGAAAGGAAAACCTCTTTTGGCTGAAGATAAAAAAGGGCTTTTATCTCTAATGTTCATCGCACAGCAATGTGTTCACACTGCTGTTCTAACTGCACATTTCATGTTGCCATTAGAAGTCCATTCCTAACAACCAGCTACCTCTCTCTCTTTTGCTGCTCTCAATAAATTAAAGGTTGCTGCATACTCAAATATCACAAACTGGAAATGACTTGTCAGTTGTAAAATTGTACTTTAGTCACAGAATCACAGAATGGTTGAGGTTGGAAGGCACCTCTGGAGGTCATCTGGTCCAACCCCCCTGCTCAAGCATGGTCACCTAGAGCCAGTTGCCCAGGACCATGTCCAGGCGGCTCTTGAATATCTCCAAGGAAGGAGACTCCACAACCTCCCAGGGCAACCTGTGCCAGTGCTCAGTCACCTCGCAGTGAAAAACTGTTTCCTGATGTTCAGAGGGAACCTCCTGTGTTTCAGTTTGTGCCCATTGCCTCTGATCCTGTCACTGGACACCACTGAAAAGAGCCTGGCTCCCTCTTCTTTACACCTTCCCCTCAGGTATTTATACATGCTGATGAGATCGCCCCTGAGTTGTCTCTTCTCTAGGCTGAACAGTCCCAGCTCTCTCAGACTTTCCTTATTTGAGAGAGATGCTCCAGTGCCTTCATCATCTTAGTGCTCCTCTGTTGGACTCTCTTAAGTATGTCCATGTCTCTCTTGTACTAGGAGAACTGGACACAGCGCTCCAGGTGTGGCCTCCCCAGTGCTGAGTAGAGGAGAAGGATCATCTCCCTTGACCTGCTGGCAGCAATCCTCCTAATGCAGCCCAGGATACAGTTAGCCTTCTTTGCCACAAGGGCATGTTGGTGGCCCATGCTCAACTTGGTGTCCACCAGGGACCCAAGTCCTTTTCTGCAAAGCTGCTTTCCAGCTGGTCAGACCCCAGCATATAGTGGTGCATGGGGTTGTTTCTCCCCAGACACAGGACTTGGCACTTCCCCTTGTTGAACTGTATGAGGTTCCTGCCAGCCCATTTCTCCAGCCTGTTGAGGTCCCTCTGGATGGCAGCATGACCCTGGTGTAACAGCTACCCCTCCCAGTTTTGTGTCATCTGCAAACTTGCTGAGGGTAGACTCTGCCTCATCATCCAGATCATTAATGAAGATGTTGAAAAGGACAGGATCCAATATTGACCCCTGGGATACACTGCTAGTTACTGGCCTCCAACAGACTTCATGCCACTGTTCACCACCCTCTGGGCCTGCCCAGCTGTTCAACATGAACAATGCATCCAAAAAAGATTTACGTTACTTTTGATGTCATTGTCACTTACGTAAGCAAATCTCACAATACTGATAATTAACTAGATAGGAACAGCATACGACAGCCAAAAAAGCTGGTAGGTATCATAACAGCGACTAATAGCCTCCAATGGACATCTCCAGTGGCTCCCTACCACAATGAGGCTCAAAGCTTCTCCACAATGGGGCCTAAAGCAAACTTTACTATTTCAAGGATGAGAACAAAACAGTTTATTCAAGTTTTCAGTGGTGACTGTGCTTACACAGGCATCATCCATAGAGCGACAAGGAAGCCCAATGCCACATGCCACAACCCTCCGCGCCCTTTTCTGCTTCTTAGCAGCATTGATGTGCTTTGCTAGGAGAGTGGAGTAAAGCGGAAAGTGAGGAGTAGCATAAAATGCCCGGACATTTTGTCAGTGTGAGAATCTGTGGCCTTTGTTTACTTTGTCTTTCCTCTCCTATTGCCTCTCTGCTATTCTTATATATATCAGTTCTGTTACCAAAAAATAGGGCATTGTGCTAAGAGCAAGA